GTGCCACAGCAGAAGCCACACCTGATGGAATATTCTGCCTATTCACCTGGCCTAGGGGAAGGAGGCTGTGCCCATTTCCTTGACCCTTAAGTGAGAGTTGGACTGGGTCAGGGAGGAGGTTGGTGAGGCATCAGAGACAAAGGATGGGGTCGGGGCAGGGCTGGAGGAGAGGATGTGGACGGTACTGCTCACACCAAAAGTGAAATTCACCCACTGCTCACCTTTCCCTAGCTCCACCTGTCTTTGGGTAGCTGGGTGTGACCATCCCCAGGTTTCCACACTAGAAGATCAGACAGAGGAGGCTTAGGCCCAGGTCTAGGAAATCCAGCCCTAGAGAGGCTGGAAGATGTGTGTGCAGGCTAGGTCATTATTCTATGCCATCTTGTCTTTATAGCTTCCCTTTTACATGAATAAAACCAGACAAGCAGTCTCTGAGAGCTCCTATGGCCTTGGGAGACTCCTTTTCACAGACCCTTGACCTGGGCTCCCTCTATCTCATCCACATCTGTTGGAGTGCATGCAGAGGCTGCACATCACCCTTACCTGGTACTGAGCTTTCCTCCCTGGTCTTCAGTGCTTCTCGTAGGGATCTCAATTGCTATACCTGTGCACAGGTGGGAATCATCCCAGACTACAGCCTTAGACCTAATAGTAGGCACAGTTCCTGTGAGGCAGAACATAACTGGGAAGAGAAAGGAAAGGATATGAGGCTCCCACTCTTTCTGGCCCTTTTCAAGTGCCTCCAGGACTGTGTGTCATGGTCTCCGTAGGAAAGGACTCTCTGTACCCCTCCTGTTGGTGTTGTAGTAGACATGGTGGTCTTTTAGCCAGGCAACATGCTTTGTATGCCTGATAATCAGAGAAACCATCAGGATAAGGTTGCCCAGCTGCCATCACATCTTGACCCATGTACTAGTGAGGAAAGGCATGCATGCTCAATGTCAGCCAGCCAACAAGCTCACTTCTAGTTTGCATTCAGAGGAGTAATCCTGGGGAGGGGTTAGCTGAATTGTAGGTCCATGTCCCAGGGGACAGTGACTCACCTCCTGGTACTCCTGTAGCTGTAGTGGCCAGGAGGCCTGATGGTTTAAGCAGTGTCCTGTTCTCTCATTGGATGCCTGAGAGGGTAGGCCATGCTTGGTAGAGGGGGTCATGCCTTAGGATAGATTTCAGGTGGTGAGAGGAAGGCAGAGTTGTGATGGGTCACCAAGTGTGTTAGAATGGCAGCCCCTGGCTTGCACTGGAAAAGGCCTGCATCCTCCCTTACCCAGGTGGTGTGACAATGGGGACCACAAAAAGGTGTCTCATCCAGGTCTGCTGACTGTTGTTTGTGGAGGACCACCTGGGTGACTCTCCTTAAAGGAGGAGCAATCGTCTTCATTTTGGCTAAATCTGACCCTATTTCCATGTACTGATATGTACAGAGCTGGCTAGGACTTTTATTTATCCCTTCAGTTGGCGTTAAGCAATGCACATTGGTCTGGCCAAGGTGCTGATGGCAGTCTTTGAAGACAGCAGGTGTGTTCCCCGGACTCCTGCTCCTCCCATGTGTGAGCTGGGAGGAGGTGGGATGAAGAGCCAGTGCTCCCTGCCGTTGGCTGGGATGAGCCTCGAGATAGAGGCTATGACTTCCTGGGGCTTGAAAGATTACACATTGGAGTTGAACCACTGATCCCAAAACATTAGATACTATCTAATTGTGTTATGCAGATTATTCTTTCTTCACATCCTTCTCTCGGCATATTGCAGAGGTGATTTCAGGCCTCCTACCTAGCCCAGCTCATGGCACTCACCTACTTCCCATGATTCTCACAGTCACTCATCCTGAAACCACTCCTTTCTTCATGAATTAATAAAACCTGGTGTGTTGGTTTGGGGCTTATTTTTGCAAGGGGCGAACAATAGAATATAGGACACATATTTTATAAGGTTATTTATAGTAGTCACCCAAAGAATGGTATACAAGAGAGTGCAGGAAATCTGTCCACCCACTATAGACCAGGAATCCAGCTGAGGGCCTGGATCCCATGATAATGTCCTAAATGAGTCCAGCTGAAGGCCTAGAGCCTATAACAATGCCTCCCATGAATCCAATTGGAGGCCCAGAGCCCATAACGATGTCTCACACAGGCCTGTTTCACAGATCTGTGCTGGGAGGGACCAAAGGTCAGTGGTGGAATCTAGGAAGTCTGTGCCAGTGGGATGAAGGATCTGCGCTAGCAGGCTGAGGGATCTGCACTGGAGCCAGGAAGTGATGCTCAGAAGAACCAGAGCTCCTCCAAAAGGTACTACAGCCATCCTCAGCAACAGTGAGGTCCGTGTAAAGGCCTCACAAGGGGCATGCATGGCCTCACAAAGAACATGAAAAATTACTGATTACTCCCCCTCTTGTTCTTTCCACCTGTGTCATTCTGCGTTCTAGCCACTCCCTGAAACTCCCTGAAATGTATCATTCCTTTCTTGTAAGTTTCCTAAAGTTTCTATAGTTTCTCAGAAGACTGCTTCACAAAGACTTCTCTTGCCAAGCAGGATGTGGTTTTTTGGCTTAAAAGCTGCTCTCACCCCTGGTTTGCTGCTGATCTGATCCTACCCTGTGTGGAGACTCTCAGTCAGTCACTGGCCAGCTAATAAAGGCTCATTCTTAAATCTCAATTGGTGCTCCATGCGTTTTGGTGTTTGTGGGTTGGTACCTAGGTTCGGTTCTCAGTCCAGAACACTCCTAAGCTCCTCCGATGATCAAGATGGCTGAGTTCCCATCTGGAAAGCCAATGCAGCAAGCTTCTCTAGGAGATGAACAGTACATCATCTTCCCCTCTGGAGCAAGGAAGCAATGCTCAAAGAGAGGACCAGAGCTCCCCCAAAGTGAACTGAAGCTATTATCATGTCAACAAGGTCCTGAGCTCCTCGGGGGATGAAAACAGCCAAGTTCATCAGGAAAGCCAGCATGATGAGCTCCTCCAAAACAACCAACGACTCCTTACAGCTTCCACCAGCTCCCAACAGTCTTTCTCCACTTCCAATAGCCTCCTTCTCCTTCTCCAGGTTTGCCTCTTATGCTGCTGGCAACAGTCCCCAGGTGGGCCTCCCACACCCAGTGCCATGCTTACTCAGTTCACCTGGGGGTTATAAGTTGACCACCAGTTGTCAATCCACTACACCTGGGTTCTACCGTGGGTGGAGGCCTTTGTTCTGAATGGCCATCATCATGGCTCGACTTAGGATCCCTTGGCTCTGCATAACTACAAATATGTCTTGGTGTCTTTATTCTCACCAGGGGTTGCACTGGAAGTGGTAGATTGGAATTAACTCACTAGAATTCCAACAACTTTTCATGGGATTGCAAATGTAAACTTCCTGGGCCACAATGAGGACCGGGAAGGGCTCTCTATAGTTCTTACCTCCGACTGAGGACCCGTGAGGGACAAGGGTGTGTTGATGCTGCACTGCATCTTTCAAGAATGAGGAAGAGACTACAAGTCAAGCAATTCAGGGAAGTCAAGGGAGTTCAGGGGAGTCAAGCCTCAGAAGCTGGAAAAGGTGGGGAAGTGGACTCTTTCCCAGCCAACTCCAGGGAGCACAGCCCTGCAGACTTGTCTCAACCCAGTGAAACTGATTAAAACTTTTGCTTCCAGATCCAAAGTAAGTACATATATGCTGTTATAAGCTGGGAGTTTGTGGCAACTTATTCAGAGGCAATAGGAAATTCATGCCTCCAGTCACTCAGGAAGGAAACACAAAGGAGGAACTGTGCCCTGAGAATTGTGTTCTGAAAGTCCCAGCAGGAGCAAGGGACGATGGGAAAGGTCCTTGCTTGGGCTAAGGGGATCACACGTACCAGGGTGCAGGATGAAGATTCTGCATGTTTGGCCAGCTCATGGGGCCATGGCCAGCAGACTCCAGGTGTCCCTCTCAGCCTGCAACCTTTCTGGGTCAGGCACAGTAAATATCTCTAGTTAGAAACTCAAGTGGCACAAGAAAGGTCTTATCCTGGAGTCTAACCCAGACTTCTGACACTCACTAACGGGCTTGGGTCTTGGCCTTATCCTGTTTTTGGGGGACTGAGGTGGAGGCAGACATTGATGGGAAATCTCCTTGTCCCACAGCCAAGTTGAAAGTGGTAGAATGTGTGTCTCTGGTTGGGAAGTTGGAGTTCTATAGCACTGCACTGATTCTGACTGCTGCCTTGACAAAGGGCAAGAGGCAGGAAAGATTCTTGTGTGTCATAGCCACCTGGAGCGTCAGTCAGTGCTGTGTTTGGGGACTGGATACATTCAGGCCAGACAGGCCCAGCTATGAGTCTTCTCCCAGGAGGCTGACTTCTGTGCAAAATATTCCCTCACTTTGCCCCTACCCTGGCTTCAGAATGTACCCCCAAGTGGCTTGGGCATCATTCTGGTGGGGGCAGTAGTCTGAATAGGGTTAGCATAACCATGGCCCCCGCATGGTAGGGTGAAATGGTGAGCACCAGGTCCACAGGTTACTGACAAGGGAGCAACACCGCACTGTTGCCCAGCTCCTGCCTTGAATAGGTCTACAGCCTCATTGCCATGCCCCTTCCTGTCTAGGTCAGCAACACGCAGGATACACAGGATCCCTTACACCTTTCTAGGACCCTCCCCTCCCCATCCCTGCTGGGGATACTGCTGTAGGACCTGCTGCAGATGACTGAGTGTGGCGAAGAGTTGTGGCCTAAGTGCTTCTCTTGGATGGAATACCTCTTTAGGCTGCTCTGACAGTGGGCTCTAAGCTGTGATTTGGAGTGCTCAGTCAGAGCAAGGATGAGTACAGCACTGCTCTGCCCAGGACACACTCAGAGCAGCCAGCGGTAATGATGGTTGCAGGGGAGCCTGGAATTCTTTGCCTTGTGCCTTGTCTCTGCACCCTAACAGTTAGGGTTCTGGGGACAGCAGGCCTTGGGAGGGATGCTGGTTGAGCCCACCCTCTGTTTATTCCAGATCTCATGGTCTAGTGTACAGAGAGCACAGTCTTGGAGTCCTGGAAGCAGGTGTTTATTTAGGACAAAGAGTGAGCTCCATCAGTGGGTTGGCATTTGTAGAGATGGTGGGAAGCAGTAAGAAGGGTCTTCCAGCTCTCTCACTAGCTGTGTGGCTCAGGCTGCAGCCGGATGGCACCTGGGGTGAAATGACAGTAAGAACGGGAATAGAGAGGTGGGAGGCAGCTGAGAGGGGACAACAGAATAAAGATGGCTGGGGTTCAGGCTGGGGGATGGGGAAGAACAAAGGCAGCTCCAAGATCCCCAAACCACCCTGGTCTCCCATCACCCCCATCCCCTTGCCAGCCAAACTTACTGCAAATTCACTAGTCCATGCAGTTCTCTGTTGGGGAGAAAGAAGAGGCAGGGTTGTGTGTGTGTGTGTGTGTGTGTGTGTGTGTGTGTGTGTGTGTGTGTTGTATGAGGTCTCTGTCCCAGGACCACTACACTTCCTCTGGCTGCCTCAATTCCAGCCTGGCCCAGATGAAGAGGACCTGAGGCTCCCCTGAATTGAGGGCAGGGAGACGGGAAAGCCAAATGGCTGGACCTTACAGCTGCTAGGGCGTAAAAGAGTCCAGCTGGTTTACCTGTTGGCCATGGCAGCTCCTCAGCCAGTGGCCATGCATGGCCTGAATGGAGGCCCCTGCCAAGGGGTGACCACTTGAAAGTAAGGACACCTCCACACCAGTATGACCAGGCCCCAGGACAAGGGGAAAATGACCGGACCCAAAGTATGGGGAATAGGTGGCTCAGAAGAGCACCTATTCTTCATACCTAGGCCCATGGTATGAAGATAAGGCGGCCTAGGAAAATGAGACTGGAGAAACTTGGGCTTGGCCCTAAAACTTTCATGCACCAGACCTTGGCTAAACTGTCAGGGGACGCAACTGAGGCCAGGATCTCTGGGGACACATAGATCACAATGTAGAAGCCACTATCACTTCAGAGACAGAATCAGGATACTAAGTCTCTCCTCTCCCTTTTCCCTGGTGGGGCAGCATCAAGCTTGGACAGATACCCCATCACCTTGCCCCCATTCTGGGTGAACATTACCCATGGGCTCGATGAAGGAGATGTAGTCATCAGGGAGGCCCAGAGATTTGGCAAAGTTGAAGAAGAGGTCCTCTTGTTCAGGGCTCAATCCCATGGTTCTCCCTGTGGCCAAGATGGAGGTGAGTGGGCAACAAAGAGACTTCTGTAATTTATATTATGATTTTGAGATGATGTCTTGTTATGCAGTTCAGATGGCCTTAAACTCTCAATCTTCCTGCCTCAGCCTACCCACAGCTGTGATGACAGGGGTGGGCCACCATCTCTGCCTCACAACATAAACACTGTCCAATGAGTGAATGAGGCCTCAGACTGCTTAGGGAGGGTCTGTGGAAAGACCTCCTGTTTGAAATGGGGCCTTGAATTGGAGAAGATTTTGGGTTCTTGAGGGACTGGGGACCCCTCCCACAGGTATGACCAGGAACCAGGTCCCTGAGAGGATAGTGACAACCCACCATAGAGCATGAGCTCAAAGCACTCTATGTTGTTGAAAACCAACTTGTAGAACACCATGGCAAACTGATTGTAGTCCGTGGATACCACTCTCATAGTGTAGTTCTGTAATCCATTGTAACCTGCATGTGGAGGCCAAGGGAACATATTTTCCTGACCTAGAGGAAAGGATGTCTCCTTCTTCCCCAGCCGTTAGGAGGGACTTCTCACAGAGAGTTTCCATGTGGACATACAGGCAACCTTGTGTCCTTCTGGAAGGGCACTGGCTCCCAAGTCCCAGCCCCAGTGGTCCTCTCATGCAAGACTCACTTGGCAAATTGTCCAGAGTGAACTGGCCCGGCTGGCCACTTGGAAGTATAGTGTCGCTCCTGTGATCACAGACGTGGTTGCTGTGAGAGTGAGAGATAGAGCAGGAGTGAGCAGGGGGAAGACACAGGCTTGGTCCCCTGGGTTGTGTTAAGTTGGGTCAAGGCTACAGCAAGATGCTAAGGCCACAGTCTAGCCCAGCTCATGAAAGCCTGTCCCCCACCATGACAGGTAGCCTGCCTGGCCCACATCCACGGCCCTGGGCCTTCTCTCTGAGCCTCTGCTTGGTCTGCTGTGGGTGCCGCCTGACCCTCCCTCCAGCACTCACTGTCTCCTCCGCTTCCTCTCTGGGGCAGCCTGTCCCACACAGACCCCAGGCTCTGACCCTGCTCTTATCTTACTGCTCCCCTTTTCTATCGCTCTTGGCAATTTCCGTTGAACTTCCAGTTTGCTCCATGCCAACTACTGTCCTATACATCGAGGCAAAATTGACCTCTCCCTTGAGTCCAGCCCACCCCTGCACTTACAGTCAGGGTTCCTAAGCCACACTTCCTTTTCCCCTTAAATGCTCCAGTTGCAATCCAATTTGTGGCCTGTGCCAGAATTCACTATAGATGGATGACAGCTTCTCTCTGTCACCTCTATTCTGTGACTTCCCAGCCATACATTTGCAGTTTTCTGCAGCATTTGTGCCAAGATTTTGCCCCTTTAGGAGCCCCACGTCAGGCCCTGGTTCAGAGTGAGATGCCCGTAGACTGGCCTAGGAGCGCTCCCCTCTGGCTGCTCATCAGTCCCTGCTCAGGTGGCCACACTGATGCTGGCTGCTTTGCTGCCTCCTAAGGTGAGGCTCTGTGACTCACAGTCCATCAGACCCTGTGCCTCCTTTTTAAGGTGGTAACAGTAGCGATGGTAATGTACTGTGCTACATCTATAGCCCTTATTTTACTTTCAGTTTTGAGATGCGGTCTCCTAAATTTGCCCCAACTGGATTCAAACTTGTGATTCATCTCACCAGCATGTGGAGCTGAGTCTGCTAGGAATACAGACAGGTTGGCTCCTTTGAAGTCATCTTCCTGCCTTGGGTGGAGTCCCCTGTTCGGTTCAGTGTCCCTTCTCCCCTATGGGACACTTATTTTCTTCTTGTTTTCTCCTGAGTGTGTGTTTCTTTTGCAGTTGTCCATCAATATTGATGGAATTGAGGGGTGAAGAGTGGGAGGAAGAGATGGAGGGATAAATAGAAGGAGAGAAAAAGATAAAAAGGGAGGGTAAGAGGAACAAGGAGAGGAAGGGATAAGACTGATTAAGTTCAGAACAGTGAGATGAATGAGTTTCACTTAGCTAAACAGCAAAATGCCATCAGAACCCCAGGAGGTGGTGGCTTTACCTGAACCAAGTGGAGCTGACATTGTAGCTGTGGTCATCTTTCAGCTTGTAGTTGGAGCTGAACTTGAGTAGTTGGCTTAGTCTGTGATTCCAATTTGTGTTCTGTGCCCAACCTATGGTATACCACTTCCCCTGGAACTGCAAAGGGCTCATGACAGGCAGAACCCAGGGATGTTCCCAGAGCCACCCCTGCCACATTGTCCCTTCTGATACCTCAGGGAATGGGCTGCCATGAGAAACTGGAAGGAGCTTAGGTCTTCCAGGTCCAAGAGGGACCTAGGTGAGGAGTTAGCCTTGAGTTTTTATGGATATGGTGACCCTGGGCCAGAGGCTGGTGCTGCTTGCAGAACCTCAGTTTTCTTATTGCCGAGGAGGGACTAAAGATATCCACCAGACATGAACATGTCCTGGATTCCCTGAGTGCGCCCATTCAACACTCCCTTGAAGCCATTAGCCTCTCCCTTGCTCTACTCCTGTCCCCTGGTCCCTCCCTGCAGCTGCCCTTCCAGAGCTTTTACCTGCTTCTCTTGGAAATCTGGCTGCAGAGGGATCTTGCTCAGTGGTGGGCTTGGGATCACAGCTAGATTGAAGTCCTGAATCTGGATCTTCAGGGTCCCCATCAGGGTCAGGCCCAGACACAGGAGACCGAGGGCCATGGCTTCAGAGCAGCTTCTGGGCTGGCACTTACGGAAGAAGGACTAGGCAGACTGAGGAGGTCAACCAGAGGGAACTATTTATGATCGCCACTCTGTTCCCGCCCACTGGGGTGGGCCCATTCATCCTTTGCTAAATATAGCAATTGTGAGCTAATTGACACAGCTCCTTCAGAAGTACATGACAATACCCATCCCCATCAGAGTTGTGCAAGGTAGAGAAAAGGCAAGAAGAAATGAGGCAGGAGGGACACGTACAGACCCTCCAGTATGTCATGGACAAAATCTCCCGCTATGCTCACTGTAGTTCTTTCCTTCATCTGATTGACCCTGTCTGGGGGTTAGCAGCTGGAATTCCTACAAACTGACATGTCTGACTCTGTGAGCTCTGGGTGTGGATGTGTGCATGGTAGTGTCAATTCAGTGTACCCAAGGAACATGGTAGGCATGGAGGAGGATTGTCTGGGATATACAGTGAGTTCCGAATTAGACTTCAATATACAGAGAGACCCTATGTCCTGAAAAAAAGCAAGAAAAGAAAAAAGGAAGCAAAAAGTGTTCATACCTATAGTTTCTGTGCTTATTTCCAATCTTTTAAGGTCAGGAAATGGCAGGCAGCCGACAGCAGACATTCTGGACAGAGAAGGGCAGGATGTGTGCTCTTAGCGCATTGAGCCCATTTTGGGCCTCACAGGAGCCTGAGGCCAGGCCATGGAACAGAGTGAAATGCCTTGGACCTCTCTCCTACTCCACACCTCTAACTGTATTTGCAGAAACAGACAGCACAGCAGGGTGCCCACAGGGAATTTCCCTTTTCTTTGAGCTCAGCAGGCAGAGGCCCCAGGCAAGGTACAGGATCCATAGATATGGCTGCTTGAAAGAGACAAGGGCTGGCGTTTCAGTGACAGCTGATGGTGGAGCCCTGGCAATGGGACCGTGGGAGGCCAGTACCTACTGGGGAAAGGTGGATGGCACTGTACTGCTATATACATCAGCTGCTATCAGTCATGGAGTACCAGGATTTGACCTCATCCTTCTGGTGGCATTTAGATCAACCTTGTATGTCTAACTGTAGGAGTCGGGACTACGTGATCAGCTGCAGAGACTGAGGCCTTGTGGACCTTTCCTGGAGATGGGAGAGGCAGCAGAATGCTTCCCCCTCCCTTGTATGTGCGCAGGAATGCTTATCCTTACAATAAAGTTGGTACAGAACAACATCAGCAGAGGTCTAATCCAGAAATGATTACATATCTGGATGCAAGGATGTTTTGCTCTTCATCAATCATTTACAGTTTCTTGAACCTTGGATTTTATGATTGGTACATTGCCTTGTTTTACTAATGAAAATGGGACTTTATAGACTCCAAGGTCTCCTGCCTACTTGAGGTAGGAGTCCTCTGGTCTGCCTTGTTTGGAAATTTGTCCTTCTTTTATTCCTTATTGTATCCTCTTGGTCAGTTTGCAGGCTGGCTCCTGAATCGAGCCACTTTTTTGGGCCATGGGACCAATGGTTTAAGCCTAGGGTCTTAGAACTGTCCCTGAGACGGCTGATTCCAGACTTGATCCTGTGGGAAGCTGTTTCCTCACTGAGGGCCTGGCCAGTATCCTAGGGAGGTCGCAATGGACCCTAGGTCTTGTGCAGTGCCTTTTCAAGATAGCTCAGCCATGAAAGTGATGACTTGATCTGACTTGACTTGGATCCTGGCTTCATATGGGATTGAATGGGCCCTCATAGGCTCCACTCATGTACATTTTATGTCCCAGCCTGGACTCTGGGCTTGTGGGTCTGAAAGGAAGGGGATGAAGGGCAGACCTTGAAATGGTGAAGAGGGTGCAAACATCAGGCAGGCCCCTATACCAGACAGCCCTCCACCACGCTGCCCCACCTGAGCTACATGATGAAAAGGCAGGAAGTGAAGCTCAGCAAAGCTGTGGCCACCAGAGTCTGCCCACCTCCCTGTCCCCTCTCTCTGTCCTCTCCCAGCCCTGGTGGCTACACCTCCATTACTCTCTATGACCTTGAAATGTACCCTCAGCCAGGCATGGTGGCACATACCCGTAATCTGACACTAGGGCAGGTTGTGGCAAAGAAATTTCAAGTTTGACCCAGCCTACACAACTTGGTGAGACCCTGTCACAAAATATAAAATATAAGGATTGCTTGACCTTTCCCTCAATGGGAAGCAGCCTGTGCCTGATCCATGAGGCCGCAGGGAGGACTGTCCGGTATTTTGTTTCAGCATCAAGTTAGAAGCAAATCAAGACCTTTGATATATTGGAAAATATTTTTAACTGTACTCAGACCATGTTTCCTGATAAGTCACTTAGTTCCTCTGGCCTGTGATGTTTATCATAGAGGGATATTTGAAATATGGAATCTGTGATAATGAATATGCTGAGTTGGAAGAAAAGAAGTGCAACAACAATTCATAAAATAGAATTTTATTGATAGGTGATGTCCTCAAAGCATGAAATTTGTGTTTTGAAACTTTTGTGGTCATTAAGAAACTTTGGTGTTGGACAATTAAAATGAAAACTTAAATTGCAACAGTGATTTACATGTGTTTCTGCAATGAATTATGAAGAACTAATAAGAACCAGAACTATTTCAAACCAGGAAGGATCAATGGACATTGTAGCCAGAAAACACAGACGTGCGTTTTCACCTCTTTGTTTTTTTCTTTCAAAAACACTAAGACTCCAGCTCATTCCATAAAGAATGGTTATCATCAAGAAATCAAACAATAACAAATGCTGGTAAGCCTGGGAGTGGGAGAGAACCTTTTATGTTTTTGGTGGGAATGAATCTAGTTCAACTACTAAGGAAATCAGTGTGGAGAATGCAAAGCCCTCAAAAATACAAAGTTACATTTGATGCAGGTATTCCTCTTCTACATATCATCCTTGAAAGACTTAAATACATTATCTTCCAGTTACAGCTGCATATGCATGGATACAGCAGCACAATTCGTAATAGCTCAGTCTTGGATGTGGCCTCAGTATCCATCAATACAATAGATGAAGGAGAACACAGAGTTATCTGTTTAAAAATGCATGCACTTGTGCTCTTGATATTAAGTGAAATAGACACAAGGCAAATATCATATGTTTCTTTTAATATGAAATCCAAAATATAAGTAAAGAGCAAAATAAAATATTGCAAATAGAAAATGGGTAGATGAGTCTTTTGCAAGAGATGGAATGGGGGAGTGAGGGAGAGAGGGTCAAGGCAATTAAAAATAATTAAGGTGTGTTGTGTACATGTACCAGCTTCCCCTGAGGAATATAACCATTCCGTACTGCAAATATGTGCTAATAAGTAATAAAAATTAAAAAAAGTAAAACAAAACTATTCCCTCACATTAAAACTTACAACTGAAATCACTTTAAAAAATAAAAAACATGCTGGACAAAAAGATGCCACTCTGACTTTGAATGTTTCTCTTTTTATTGTGGTACCTCATGAATAGCTCTGAGATTGACCTCTAATGATTTTGCTACTCTTCCTACATTTTACACAGTCATGTATATTGTTTATATATTATTCAGTTTATATATTATACTGTATATATTATACACTTTATATATTATACTCCATCTTATGTGGTAGGCTTTTTACTGGAAAGATATATTAACAATACAATTCTGAATTGCTGTTGTCATTTTCCTAGGAATACTTGAGAAGGCAGGTTTGTATAATCAATCCCAAAACATCACAAACTCTAGGTTGTCAGTCAAAGGTCTGTTTATATTTGTGGAGCTGATACCTGTGTCAGAGTTGTTGAGTTGATAACCTGTGTCAGGTTATTGGCCCACATCCTTGTAATTGTTGTGAGCTTGGGTTACCATGGCATTGTGAACCCTTCTTTGGGACAGTCGTGGACAGGGTGATTGGACAGGGGCAGCTTTACTTTATCTTTGTAGTTACTGAAGGTAGGATGAGAGTCATTGGAGTGATTGATTCTGATCTTGTTCTTCTGGTCAGCCTTCCTCTCTCCTTCACTGTGGTTATGCTAGGAGATTATGATATGTTTAGCACAAACTGTGAAAACTTTAAACAAGAACAAAGTGAAATTTTCATTATACAGGCACTTTACAAACACCCTCATCTGTGCTGTGCTGACTTCTTTAGTGTTTATGGTGTGGATGAATAAGGGATTTAGAATTGCATGTGTTTCTTTTGTTTGTTGAGACAGGTTCTAACCATGTAGATCAGGCTTGCCCAGAACTCTGTAGGTCAAGCTGATCTGAAACTCCTAGCACTCGTGGCTCCCAGAGATTCTTCTGGACTGCTGAGGATACATGTACATGTCATCATGCCTGGTGTTGGGGACTAGGCTAAATAACTCAGATCTCACAGTCTTGAGGTCAGTATGGTCTTGCCTCAGGAACAGGAAGGTCAATAGAAGGCTGCATGCCTTCTTGCTGTGGGTGGAATGCTGATGATAACCTAGCATTCCTGAAGCAGAATAACATCTGCTGAGGACAAATGTCAAAATTCAGGAATCTGGGTATAGAGAAAATCTGGCTCCTCATTAACTTATTTCTTATCTATCCATGCTATATAGTTGCTGTTCCATAGAATGTATGCTACCCCTCAACCTCTGCTTCTTGCTGGCTAACAAAAGTGGGCCAGCTGTGGAGGTAGCTGAGCCAGTCCAGTAGTGGTGAGCTCCTCCTGCTCTCCTTTGTACTCTGAAATTTGTCTTTGTCTTCCTTTACTCCCTGTTGTACCCCCCTCTCCACAGGTATCCAAGGGTCTGATAAGCCCTTGGTAACTGACACCCAAACACAGGGACCTGAGACTTGAAGGGGAAGTTCCACCGGAGTGGAAAGGAGTGAAACAGATGTCTGGAACTCTGCAAGATGAGTCCAGAAAGCGGCTGTTCAAAAAAGGTGAAAGTAAGTCATTGCACTGGGGAAGGCTTTTCTTAACTGGAATAATGGGGCAGAATTTATCAATGGAGGAGGAGAGGTATGCACAGCTTTTGCGTATGTTATTGAAACAGGCTGGAGC